GAGGGAAACTGAGGCCCAGGGGAGGGGCTGGGATGAGAGGAGGGAAACTGAGGCCCAAAGGAGGGGCTAGGTGCAGAGGAGGGAAACTGAGGCTTAAGGTGGGGAAACAGGCCTCTTGGCGTGGTGAGGGTCCAGGTGTGTGCGCCCACAGCCATGTCTCCCTGGGTCCCCTCCCCCTCCTGCCCAGGCCAGTGCCGGGAAAGGCCTCACCGGAAGGCGGACTCCAAGGAGCAGCCCTCCCCAGCCGGAGGTGCAGGCCCTTCCCGGGAAGCTGGGCCCTTAACCCGGGCGGGGGGCAGTGGGCCTGGTGAATGGGCGGCTTCCCAGCCCCTGACCCCACTTCCTGCAGGTGGGGAGGGGCCGCTGGGCGTGCCCAGCTCTCCTGGGCCCTGTCCTGTGCCCGCCCCGCCGGGTCACGTGTGGTGGTCATGCCGCTCACACTCCCCAAGTGCCGCGTCCTCACATCCACAGGCTTGGGGGGGCGGGGACACGACACGGCTGGGGTGCCCCCCAGGACAGGGCGGGTGGGTGGATACAGGAAGGAGGAGGGTTAGGGTTCCCAGAGGCAGAGGGACCCACGGGTGCAAAGGGGCAAAGGCGGGGAAGGTGGGGGTGAGGGAGACACGCAGAGACAGAGTGAGGAAGAGAGACAAGGCAGAGACATAGGGAGATAGAGACAGAGACACGGGGATGGAGAGACAGAGGCAGGACAGAGGCCTGAGGGCCTGTGAGGACCCCAAGACCCCTGGCATCTCAGTCCTAGTCCCACAGCAAGGCCGCTGCCAGCAGGGACTGCACAGCTTCTTCCACAACTACGGGGACCTCCCTTTTGTCCTGGGGAGACTTGAGACCGCCCCCAACATTGGTCCCCTTCCCAGCATTGTCCTGAGCCCTCCAGCAGGAAGCCCCCTTCCCATGGAGGGTCCCAGCCGTCCCACCAGCCCCAGACCCCACTTCCTGGCCTTCCTGTCCACAGCAGCTGAGGGGTGTTCCAGAGGACTGCGGCCCTGAGGGAAGGGGCCGTGGGGGCGCTGGTGTCCAGGACTGAGCACGCCCCCAGGCCCGGACAGACCCTTCTCAGCCCAGCTGGGCCAGCCCCCCTGGTTCCCACCCACAGATCAGTTTTGGGGTCTTCTTGGCTTTTCTTTGAAGACCCCCATTAGGGCAGGGCCTCGTTGTTGGGCAAGGCTTGAACCCAGTGCAAGGACCCCGACCTGAGGGTCTCAAGGGGAGTGGGGGAGGAATGAGACTGATCGAGGCTGCAGGGGGGGTTGTTTAATAAGTAACCACGTGTGTGCTTGTGCGCATGTATGTGTGCATACATATATGCGTGTATGTGTGCCTGTATGTGCATATATGTGTATGTGTGTGCGTGCACATGCGAACACATACATGCACACACATGAGTGCGTATGTGCATGTGTGCACATGCATGTGCACATGTGCACATGTAAGTGCATGCATACACACATGCACACGTGTATATATGCATGCATGTATGCATGTGTGCGTGCATATATGTATGCGTGCATATATGTATGCATGTGTGCGTCCACATGTGCATATATGTGCACGTGTATGTGCGTGTATGCATGTATGTGTGCCTGCATGTGTGCACATGTGTTTTAGCCTGAAACCTGCAATGGGGGTGGGTCTGGCTCCCATATTGGGTTTTGTCCGAGTCAAGCCCCTCCCTGCAGGCTGGCCGAGGTGATCATTGCCACTGGGCCTGGGCAGGGCTGACTGGCCTCCCTGGGGCCTGTGACCGCCTGGTGAGGGGCTGGGGCTGAGTGCTTGGTCCCTAGCAACCCCCAGGAAGCTGGACATGGCACCCTAGGGGGTGATGCTGGTGTGGTGGTCTCTAGGGCAGCCCCACCTGAGCCGATCAGGAGGGGTCTGGGCATCCATGGGGCAAGAGGCATACTGGTGAGAGCTGGCTTGGGGCTGGCTGTGCCCAGGGAGAGGTGGGGCTTGGAGTCCTTCCATGCGCTCTGATGCCTCGGTGCTTCCAGGGGCATCTCCAGGCTCACCCCAGCTTCCACAGCCCCGTCTCACGGGTTAAAGGGCCACTCTAGCTGTTTCGAAGACGGGGGCTGAGCCACGAGCGGCACAGGCCTCTCCCGAGGGGCCAGGAGCCTAGAGGGGCACAAGCCACGCACACATCACATGGAGAGACACTGAATTGTGTACGAACTGCACTCACGGGGTTTGAGACTAGAGAGCTGGCACTTCCACGTCGTGAACACCATGAAAGGCATCGAACTATTTCTTTGTTTTTTTGAGGCAGAGTTTCGCTCTTGTTACCCAGGCTGGAGTGCAATGGCGCGATCTCGGCTCACTGCAACCTCCGCCTCCCGGGTTCAGGCAATTCTCCTGCCTCAGCCTCCTGAGTAGCTGGGATTACAGGCACGCACCACCATGCCCAGCTAATTTTTTGTATTTTTAGTAGAGACGGGGTTTCACCATGTTGACCAGGATGGTCTCAATCTCTTGACCTCGTGATCCACCCGCCTCGGCCTCCCACAGTGCTGGGATTACAGGCTTGAGCCACTGCACCCAGCTGAACTATCTCTTAAAAAGCCCTGTCTTGCTAGGCATGGCAGCTCACCCCTGTAATCCCAGCACTTTGGGAGGCCGAGGCCGGCGGATCATGAGTTGGAGACCAGCCTGGCCAACATGGTGAAACCCCATTTCTACTAAAAATAGAAAAACCGGCCAGGCCTGGTGGTGTCCATCTGTAATCCCAGCTACTCAGGAGGCTGAGGCTGGAGAATCAGTTGAACCCGGGAGGCGGAGGTTGCAGTGAGTCAAGATCGCACCATTGCACTCCAGCCTGGGCGACAGGGTGAGACGCTGTCTCAAAAAACAAAAACGGAAATAACCGTGTCTTTTCCAACTTGGCTCGGCTCTAAGGCATTGCAGGTGAGTCCAATTCCACCACAGCTGTGTGTGTGAAAG